TATAAACAAAGGACAAGGTCAGACCAGTCAGTTGTASTCCTTATTAGTGGCTTTGATAAGAGGCTTTGGGGGAAGAGGTTGAAACTAATGGCTGTAATGAAATTTTGGGTTCTGTTAAGATTTCATTTATCTGCACTGTCAGTCCCCCTATGCAATATATCTGTTCCATGTGCCTTTGCACGGGGTTTACATATCATAGTAACAGCTATTACTGAAGCCTTGCTAATTTCTTACATTATGTAGAAAAAGCTGTGAAAATTACTTTTAGGGGACAAAAAATATGAACAATGGTGATTGCTCCATATATTGACTAAGGCAGTGTTGGAGGAAAAATAGCACTAAAAAACAAAATACCAGAGTTAAAAAAGATATACAGTAGTTTTCATTTGTATTAATATGTGAATTTTTGCCCTCCCTCAATTTAGTAAAGATACATGAGGTCTTAAAAAGATTTTTTTAATCAATATATTTTAATCTAGAATGTTATCCTTTTTGACAAGTTCATAGAGAAAAGGAACATCAGAATGTTACTTTTCATTTTTAAATGTTGTGAACTGAAATTTTGCAGTTTCTTTGGGAATAACGATATTTCTTAATTTTTTTAATAAAACTAAATAAACGAAAACCTTTTCTTAATAGTCTTCATGCTATTTATGAGTCTTAAGTATATGTTAACTAGTTTCAGATGTGTTTTGTTCTCTGACTCAAAGTCAGTCCTTTATTTTATAAAAAGAAATTGTGTAATTACTACTTAATTGCKTTGGATATTTTGGGTATTTGGAGGAGAGGTAATTCAAAGGCCAGAGAAATTAAACTTTCACAATGTTCTTTATGCATGTATAATTCCTTTTTTAAAACAAACCCCTAATGACAGGCCTGACAAGTTAAAAATAAACAAAGACCTGGGTTGTTTTTATACAATTGAAATAATAGTAATTTTAAAGATATTTTAAAATTAACATCAATTTATATCTTTGGATGCAATTATATTAATTTTTTCTTAAGTTATATTGGGGAGAGGATCATTGGAGTGCTAGAAATCAAGATTATCTGGTCCATCTCCTCTTCAAGCAGGTATTGTCTAATATCTGACAGATATGTACTGTTCTTACAAGAGGAAAGTAAGAATCCTCATATACTTCATAAGTATGATRTATGATCAAATTTAAATATGTCCCATAATGAAGAGTGATATGTGGTCCTCAGGACAAACAGTAGCTTGGTTGACGTGGGCTCTTATCCTGTATCTTTAACAGTTTGAGAAGTCTAGGTCTTGTAACTTAACTTCTTTAGGCCACTTTTATTATGAATAAATCGGACTATTAGGCTAGTAACTCTAAGACTTAACTAGCTCAGAAATACTGTGCTTCATGAGACACATTATCTAAAAACTCTACATTTTTTTTCCCTAGAGACTAAGAAGTCTGCTTTTAAGTGATGATATTCTATATTTATTTTATTAGTGAACACATGAACTAGGACATTAATGAGCTTAGTAGTTACAAATTATAWTGGATTTAAAAAGAATATACCTAAACCAGAAGAGCCTTACTTCATATCTGCTAAATTCACTGAATAAGGTATAATGCAGAACTTGGAGACTGATTTGTGAGGAAATTATACTAAAAGTTCCCTCCTGTATTATTGACCTAATCACCCCCCATTCTAGCTAATATTATTCTTATGATTTTTCTAAATCATGATCTTTTTTTCTTGAAGAAAACAACAGATTACTTAAACATCTCATTTCTGGTTGGGAAATTCAAAGAATCAAAACTAATTACTTAGCTCAAATATATATGAAAGTACTACTAGAACCTGTATGAAATGCATGATTTTCAAAGAAAATATAAATTGTGAAACTTTCTATAGAAGAGACAAAAATCTGAACAGATTAGTAGACATAAAAGAAATTGGAAAAGTGACCAAAGAGATGGCCCAGCAATAGCACCAGACACAGCTTGGGTTTTGTGGAGAAATTCTTCCCAGACCTTAAGGAATGCATAAGTCCAATGTTGTTGATGACCCACTGACTTTAAAAAAATAATAAATAAAAGTGAGATTCCCATCAATGTTAACAAAAGGCACCCAGTCCCCTCCTTTACAAATGAGGTGAACCTTAGGTTCAGACATTAGGGACCAAAGATAGAAAATAACAGCAGGAATTATCAAATAAAATGAACTTTGGGCCAAATTTGGTACCCTCTCTGTTTTATCTCTGCACAGGGAGTTAAATAGGAAGGAAAATTATTGCCAGTCTAGGAAAGCTTTGAAGAAAACACAGTTTTTCTTAATATACTTGTATTTTATTCAGTTATCCTTTTTCAGCATTAAGTGTGTATAGAGACTAGGATGTTAAAAAATGAGAAGGAAAGATTCCTGTCCTCAGAGAAACAGCATCAAGTGCAGGATATGAAAGGCAGGCCCATGCACAACGTACAGGGAGCAAACAGAACAAGCATGAAGGGAAGTAGCATGAACTGATCACTGAGGTGCATGACCTCAAGGTCCCAGAGTCAGACCCTGGCATGTCAGCCCAGTTTAAAATCTATACCCAATGGTTTGGATAATGAACTACTGGTAAGAAATCTTTAAGGGTCTGAGGAATCAAGAAAGAAGCATAAGGCAGAGGCCAGGAAATCAGGCCATATTGTTGGGGCTGACCTTAAAAGTCTTCCAAAGACGTGATCAGTGATAGAAACTTCTCCTGGGGCCTAGAGCAGGAGAGCAAGGCCACTTGTTCACAAGTAGACTTCCTGTACTTGTTCTGTTGTCTCCTCTGAACTTTGCCAAGTTGTTTCCTCCTCCTTTCTTAGGAAAACTAAAATGAAAGAAACCAATGAAGGTTGAAACAGGTAATGTAAGGCAGTGAGAGTTTAGTAAATAAAGGAAGAAATGTTTCAGATGCTTGGAATAACCTCTTATTATAAAAAATACAAGTCTGATATTACTGGTGATGACATAGACTTCTAGATGCTGTCCTTGGGGTACAATTACTATTGGTTTGATCAACCTCATATTGAGTAAGTGAGAGGGAAGGAGAAAAGGAGTATGTGTGTGTGTGTGTGTGTGTGTGTGTGTGTGTGTGTGTGTGTGTATACGTGTGTGTGGAAGGGGGGAGGAATGAATATGCACCAGTGGTATTTTGAAGTTCTCCACAAAATAATAGAAAATTTCCCCAGGCTCATTTGATGTTCTGTGTTCAGATTTTAGGGCTTGGGTTTTTAAGTTTTCACATTAAGCAAGTCATGCAGTTTAAATTGCAGGTATTGTACTAGTAATTTTGGTGCAGTGAAGAGAAGTGTGTATCTGCTTTTAAAGGGATTTCTCTGTGTACATTTGGATTGCTTAGTGACCTTTGAAATTTTGTTTTGAGCTGCTGTCAGAAACATAATTATTTTTCTTTCTGAAACAGATTTTAGCATCTGCAAAGGTTGATCAAGCTAGGATAGTTTTAATAAAATATTAATCTATATTTTTTAATGTCAAGCCAGCTTTTAAAACTGTTCATCACCTATCTAAAACATCAGCTCAAGGCAGTGGAGCTTATTTTAATAAATGCCTTTTCCATTAATGTTCTTCTTGTTGTGGTCAAAGTACAGTTAGAGAACAGGTTTTTTTTTTAATCTTATTCATCTATAGCCCAGTTTCAAGTTTCTCTTATTTTAAAATTGATATTACTTTATGTTTTATTATGTGAAGAGTTTACTTGCAGTTTTTTTTATATGTATATTTCAAGGAAGGAAAATTGTTTCAAATTCTGGTATCAGTCCTTCAAAATCTGGATAGTTAAAAATTTTGACTTTTAACAAAATTTAATTTAATATCTACGTAAATATGTGTCTTGTTATTAAAAGGTTATTTACGTTTAAAATGCTGACCTTTCAAGATATACACAAGAGTGTTCTAAAACAGTGTTTCTGAACATTGGCCATGAAACCACTGTCTTGGGCTGACAAATGGATTGGAAATAAGCTACCCAACACTGGGAATGGGCCATTAATTTTAATCAAAGGTGATGCAGGAAGGCGAATGGGATGCATGGCAATGTCAACAGCCCAGTAGGTGTTAAGAGACCACACAGCCTTCCTTGTTACTTGGTTGGGCCATTAGTTGAGGTTGGGTGAAGACAGAAAGCCATGTCTGGAATTGAATGACCAGGTCACTCCAAAATCTAATGGAGAACTCCCCATTTCTGAAATCACATTGTAATGCCATTAGAAGTCAAGGACAGCATTTAGAAAATATTGAAGGATCTTTTTTTTTTTTTTTTAATCAAACACCTTGTGAGTTTTTTCAACTTTGTCAAGCTTCCTGTTTTCCTGCTTCCTTCTGAATGGATCATTGATGTTTACAAAGGATCAAGAAATTGAACAGACTTAGGAAAAAAAATCTTAAAGCTTGTTTGCTTTTCAAAATTACATACTGTTGTAAAATGCTAATAAAATGCCCAAAACAGTGACATGCCAGAGSAATTAAGCAGATAATTAATTCTTTCTAGTAATCTCATTGTCCTTTTCTTGTGTGTAGGAATAGTTTTGCTAGTTGAACCAAAACTTTCKTATCGGCTTTAATGAATGTATTTGTTTCATAATTGTAATGGCCAATGTACTTGGGCCTTGTTGTAAATTGTCAATATTAGCTGATAACATTAGTGATTACTGATGGTCATAGAGGTGAAATTCTTTTCTTTCAATTGGTAAGTATATATTTTTGTTTTGAGTATTTTCAATTACAAAAAAAAAGTGGCTCTATGACAGCTTGGATTAATGATGTTTATAATAAAGACATAAAAATGCAAAAGGAACAAAGAAGCATTTTGTATCTGTGCTTCAGGTTTATTAAGAAAATCATTTACTCTGACATAGTATTGCATGCATAAGAAAGATATGTATGACTGAATTAGTAATTTTTACACATATTTAAGAAAGAAAAGCAATTATGTTGGTGTCTTGTTAATGGAATACTATTGTAAGTAATAGTATTTGTTCTTCCTGTAGATGAAGATCAGCTTCGTGCAAAGGGTTATGACAAAACACCAGACTTTATTTTACAGGTTCCAGTTGGTAAGTTCTTAAACTCACTTATTTGTTTGTTTATAGGGAAAGGGGATATGTTTTTCCATTCCTTTAATATGTTAAGATTAGCAAATGTCACCAAAGATTAGCTTTATAATACTTTACCTGTATGGGTGAAATAGTTGGAAAAGATGATTTTGAAGTAGCAGAAAATAATAGGTTCAGAAGGAATCTGTGCCATAAAATCTTTACATATATTTAAGAAATGGATTGCCATTTTCACCTCATTTCTTCAGATTTAGAATTTTTAAAACAGTTCTGTTGAATAGCCAGACTCACTTTGGTCTGCTTGACATGCCTCTTGTCAAGTTATAGAACAGCAGTCTCAGAACTAGGGAAGGGAGTTTCAAAGAGTGTGATGAAAATAAAAGCATGTGACTGTAGCATAAATGTTCCTTGTGATGAACATGCACAATGCGTTGTTTCATAATTACATCCATAGTTGAAGGTAAGGGCTAACCCTCTGCTCATTAACGTGAAGCGTAGAGAGGCCTGTGCAGAGTTCAGAATTTTCAATCTTCCCTTCCCCTCACTATGTATTAGTAATGCTTTGTCCCTTAGCTGTAGAAGGGCACATAATTCACTGGATTGAAAGCAAAGCCTCATTTGGTGATGAATGTAGCCACCACGCCTACCTGCATGACCAGTTCTGGAGCTACTGGAATAGGTAAGGTCCCATTATTTTTCTCTTAAGATAAACGATACTCAGCTGAAATCTCATTAGAAAAAATATTTTGTTTAGCTGGTAAAAATGCTAGTAGCCTTTTTTTCCCCTGGTAAATATAGGGTCTTGATTAATGTATTCATTTCAGATCACTGAAACTTCTCTGCTTTCATAATGTTGCTTTATTTTTTAAAACTAAAAATCTCCGCATAAGGTCACAATTAGTATATACTCTATTCCCTATTTTATGGTGATAACATTGGTGTCACTTAAAATATGGATGACAAGATGTGCACATTATGATATAAACACTGGATTTTTATCATTTTGATGTGAAATTTGTACTTACTGTGAGACCATAAAAAATAATTTATCTTCAACTCTCTAAAATATCCAAATATGAAAGATGAAAATAATTTACCTTCCAACAGTAGAAAACAGTTTATCTACCAACTTCTGTCAACATTCTTGAAGAGATGATAATCTGAGCAATTAAGAAAGCTAGTGTGAGGATAATACTATTTTATTGAGTACCTACCATGTGCCAGGTCCTGCAGACTGTTTCAGTTAATCCTCACAAGGAAGTTAGTTTTTTTCCCCCATTTTGCAAATAACTAAGCTGATTCTCAAAGAAAGAAAATAATATTCCAGTTAGCTGGTTACCATGGGCTTGCATTTATTTCTCTCATTCCCAAGCCTGCAATATTTCCAGCACAGTGCTAATTTCCTGTATAAAGCAATTATTGAAACTTCACTTTTTTCTATTATTGCAGGCCTAAATTGTCATACCCCACATTTTTTTCCTCTTAGGATAGGAGGTATGTCAAGTGTTAACCTTCCTAGATTAACTGCGTTTTTTGGTCACTGACCACCAGGAACAATACGGAAATAAGATTACATTGGGCCAGAGCATTAAGGAATGAGACAGTAGCATCTGTGGACAACAACCTTGTCCTGGAAAAGAAACAGTGGCAGGCTATGGAATTTGGCATTATATTGTTACTCAGCTTTACAAAAGGCCAGGGGAYCTCGCCTGTAGCAGCTGTGCTAAACTAAGCCTACTTTTTGCCATGGTAACAATGATCATGACAAAATGCTGAATGTAATGGCTTTCTTGATTTTCTTGTGTAATTGTGCGTAGCATCCGAGCTTTACTTTACAGGGATGGAGGAGGAAAGTGCAAGATGTTTTAGAAATCAATGCTGCTTCAGCGTTTCCCGTGTTTTATTCAGCCATTATTCAAATTAACAGTAATGTGGCAAATTGAATTTTAGTTTTTTAGCAATTTTATGATTAGTTTGAAATAGTAAAGAAAGCATCATTTTTGATAGTATAGGGAAATCAATGACAAGAAAATGAAATTGCATAAGTTTGCCAAAGGATTAAAAAAAAAAAAAAAAGCAATTGAGTAAACCAGTATGTTTTTGAGACTATTTCCCCCTCTTTGGAACTGGTTAAGTCTCTTCTGAGGAACAGTTATAAATTGAATCCTGTATAGTAGAGCTTACTTAAAAATTCCAAAAGAATGTATTAACTTCAAAACAACTCAACTTTTTACTGAGGGCTACTGTGTTCCTGGCACTCACCATTTGTAGGTATATTAAATAATCTAGTCACTTATGTGATAAACCTATGGATTCCTGATGTGGATGGAGGGGGTCTGAGGAATAGACAATTTAATAGTGTCCTTTGGATTGGATTTTAATATTATCTTGTTTCATTCTACTTTTTAACCTTCTAAGATGTTTTACTTAAACTACTGTTGAGTAACATTCCATGAACATATTCTTTGAATATATACCAGTCAAGGGAGCATTTTGACAGGAGAACTTAGTATTAGTCCATTTGTTAAAGTTTAGGATCCTGCTGTTTTGCCTCAACAGCTCACATAGCAGCTGATAAAACTCTTCAGAGTTGGAAGAAATTCTCTCCCACCTATAGGTAGACTGTCAAGGAAGCTTCTGATTGACATTTGGGCTAGTTGTTTTATTCTTGTGATAAGGCTGAAGTTGACATAAAAACTAATGTTATACAATTGTCACACTCTTTTCAGATTAAAGATTAAATTTTACTRTGTGATAGTTTAATTAATATTTATAGAATAATGCATTTCTGTAAACTCATTTTTCCAACTAAATTAATGCAGAGCCTCTAATTTTTATATTAATATTTCTGTAAGAACTTTTTTTCATAAAGTATTGGTATACTGATCTCAGGCTTTCAGCAACATTGACATATCACTCCTTCTTTCTTTATTACATTTTTTTTCTTGGCTTCCATAATATMATTTTCTTCTGAGTTTCTTTCCGCCATGCCAGCAGCATAATCAGTCTCCTTTGCTAGTCTTCTTCCTTTTCCCAGTCTGTAAGCAAGAGGGCTCTGGAATTCAGTGTCTACCCTTTTTTCTTTTTTCATCTAAACTCAGTCCCAAGATGATCCCTTAGAAATTTCAGTGGCTCGTATGGATTTACATACAATCTTTATGTTGGTACTTCTAATTTTTATCCCCAGCGCTAACATTTTCCCTGAGTACAAATTTCTTAGTCCAATCAATATCTCTTCTTGGGTATCAAATACATCTCTTATATTTAACATGTTTAAAACCCACCCGTTGGTGTTTTTTTCTCCCTAGCTTGTTATTCTCCCATTTCCCCTCAGTTCAATTAATGGTGCCACAATTTTCCCAGATAGCTAACTCAAAAACCTAAGTATTATCCTGSATCTATCAGCAAGTTCTTTCAGCTCTATCTTACCACATCTCATGTTGTATCATTTTTTATTGACTCACTTGCTGTTGCCTCAGCATCTGTTGTCACCTCTTGAGCAGTTGTTAAAGCTTTCAGACTGATCTCCTTTGGTTCATTCTTATAGTCCTGTGGTCAGGTTTTCTTACACGAGTCTTGGAAAATATAAATCATATAGTGTCATTTCCCTACTTAACTCTCCAGTTGTTTCCCATTCATTTAAATAAAATCCAGACTCTTTACCATGATTTTCAGGGCTCTTTTGCATGATCTTTCTCCCTTCCAGCCCCAGTTCTCTCCATATATACTTCACTTTCTCTCTCCGCCCCTAATTTACTTCTTCCATTACACTGCCTTTCTTTCACCTTATTCCTTGTTTCTACTCTCTGACTAATCCTTCTAGCTAGGAATTTTCTTTACTTAGATCTCCACATAAATTTCATGACATTAAAGGCTCTGTTCAAGCTTGCWCTCCACAGATTGACAACCCTTACCATCTAGTCTAAAATATAAAACCCTCTTTGGCAATTTTTTATCTCTTTTCTCATTAGGCTCTTCATAATACTTTTTGTGAATAAATGAGTAGAATGTAGTTGGAATCATTTAGAAAAGCACAAGTTTGCTTATTTGAATAAAAGCCTCTGAGTTTTTCCTTTTATTTTACATTTCAAATTATTCTATGTAGTCTGTCCATCATTAACTTTAGAAATTTGCCCTGGCTAGTTCACCTTGAAAGTTCTTAATTTTGCAGTGCAATCAAAATCAGATATAATGACTAGGATACATAAACTCCTTCTCTCACAGGCAGACCTGCATCCCAGGTATGAAGCTTAACTATATAACTTCTCAAAATTTTTCAGTCTCCACTTCTACAGAGTTAAAAGAAATGGTGTAACTCTAGGAAGCAGTGATTAGATCACAGGATATAGTTCCAAATTGTATAGGGATGTCAGAAAACATATTTTCTTATGAAAATCAATACAGAAATACTTTGTTGTACTACATGTGTAGTCATTTGACTTTACATCTTTGTCATCCTTAAAGTAATGGAAAGAATACTGGATTTGAATCCAGATTGTGCAACTTTCTGTTCCCATCACTGGGAGCAATTTGCTACTCTCCCAGAGTCCTTGTTTTCGACTCAAAAAAATGGGTTAATAATAYTCTCCTTGTCCTGTTGTTGTGAAGATCATTTATTTAGTGCATATAAAGCAGTTTCATAGTGCCTGGCAGTCAACAAAAATTGTTTTCCCACTGTCTTTTTATCCTCCATATCACTGTCTGATGGAATATAGAAGTCTTCTGATTAGATATTTTTAGTTGCCTTCTTTGCCAGATAAATTACTCAGTTAACTTTAGCATTCAACTTGGCTGAATCTTTTGGGGAAAGTTTCCTATATTCCAAGATTGGGTTTGTTGCCCCTGATGTGTTCTAATAATTTCATGGCATTTATCAAATATTGTAATTGYTTCCTTGTTACCTTCAATATTGAGTTCCATATTATCTATTTGTTTTATCCATCTTTGGCCAGAAGTTGGAAGAATGTCTGGCCCATAGTTGGTAATGCATAGATATTTAGTGAATGAATGACTATACAAATGAATTTACTCACACTTGAAAGGCAACAATATTTTAAGCATCTGGTAAGGATTATATAAGACATAGTAACATTAAACTTTATTAGAGCCATTTTTTTTTTCATTTGGGCATGCCCCTCAAAAGGGCAGTGAGAAAAATTGTTCATTTTTCTAAAAGAGTTTTGCATATTTTTTAGGTGTATAAAGTTTTTGYAGATATATTTTTTGAATAGTAGCATAAGTGTATTTACATGAGAAGTTTTAAAATAGAAAATAACTGGTCCCCAAATGACAAATGCATTTTGTAAAGTTTTTACATAAATATTTATAGTTTTATGTTGATTATTTCCTTTTCCAAAATGTCAAACTTCTCTGGTTTGAAATTTACATGGAATGCCTTGAAAATCCTAAGTAGAGAGCAGTCTATAATTTCTGTAGAGGATGCATGGAACTGGGCCTGGGGCAGAGGCCAGTATATCATGTGTCTAAATTTTTAAAGTTATATATCAACTTAACAGATATTAAATAAGATTTATTCTATCCTACATGAAGATTTGGAACTTCAGATTTGCACTAAGAATCCCAGACTTTTTATTGTTGTGCAGGTATAGGTGGCTCCACTGCACAGCCTACCACTCTTCTCTTCCTGCTTTCCACTCCACCTAGAAAAGAGTCAAGCAC